AATAATAGACTAAGCTTTCAAATAGAAAAATGAATAAGAACAAACAGACCTTAGCTCATTTAAGATAAATTTCTCCTTAAGATGTTTTCATAGAGTTAGGAAATACCTAGGGCTATTTTAAAATGGAAAATATTTTTCTAAAGTTTTTTTATAGTTATTTTCATTAGGTGACAGTAAAACAATTTTCTGATATATGGCATCATTTAGACCAAGGTACACAATGATTCTTTTTCTAGCAAGAGCAACATCCCACCCCCCTTATAAAATATGTTCTTAACTTAAAAAGAAAAATTATTAAAATGAAACCTATAGGTAATCTACAAAGTTTTTTGTGTTAGTGAAAGGACAAGATTTTAAAAAATTCCTTGCCAGTTTAACCAAAATACATCTATTTGCTTATACATATTCATTCCCCTTGAAATATATATATTTTATATTCCACCTAAAATATTAAGGTGATTAAGGTTTGTAATTATATGCATTAATAAGAACATCCAGAAAATAGCTTAATATAAGATAAAATATAGGGATGCCTGGGTGGCTCAGCTGGTTAAGTGGCCGACTCTTTGATTTCAGCTCAGGTCACAGTCACAATGTCCTTGGATAGATCCTTGCCTCCAGCTCCACTTTCAACAAGGCATCTGTTTGAGATTCTCTCTTTCTTGTCCCCCCTCTCACCCTCTGCCCTTCCCTTTACCCCCACTCCCTCTCAAATAAATAAATAAGTAAATAAGATAAAGCATAAGAATTCATATTTCTCTATATACTATCAAGGATTTAGAAATTAAAAGGAAGAAATACATACTTTAAGGATGAAACTATAACACATCTAAGAATAAATGGTTGAAAGGTACACATTATAAATATGACAGCTAAGAACTTTTACTAAAGAACATGAAGAAGCTCAGAGCAATGGAAAGAAGTACTGTGACATGGGACAGGCAGAGGTAATGTTTTGAAGAGCCTAATCTGAATATTAGTTGGGAGTCACATCAACAAGATGGCAGGATAGGAGTTTCTAGCTCTCATCCCCTCACAGAGACACTGATTCTGACAATCACCCATAGATGAAAGTACCTTTCTGAGAACCCATGGGTTCAGTGGAGAGATCCCAACAGGGTTGTTGAAGGAAAAAAGACAAACAAGGTTGGACACTTTGAAGAGGACAAGACGATCAGTTTTACTTCTTTTTGTCACTTCTCCTCTAAGGCTGCACAGCTCAGTTCTGAGATAGACTTTGTTGGCCTGTGACTTCTCCCACTGGGTAAAGAGTGCTCAGATGAATGGATACAGATTTGGTACATATACGTGAAATATTATTCAGCTTTAAGAAATAAGGAAATCCTGTTAATTTGGGACAACATGGATGAAACTAGAGATCATTATGGTAAACAAAGTAAGCCAGGCACAGATAAATACTGCATGATCTCACTTATATGTGGAACCTAAAAAAGTTGAACTCATAAAATCAGAAAATGGATTGACGGTTGCCAGGTTTTAGGGATTGGAAGAAATGTGGAGATGTTGGTCAAAGGGTACAAAGGTAAATAATGTGAATGCGTTCAAATTTTTAAAAAGCATTTAGAAAAAAATATTAAAATTAGAAAAGCATATATAAATTTTTACCTATCAATTGTATTCTATTACTTGATCCTTTGAAAGCAAATTCACTTTTATTTGAGACTCTATGTGTAAGGATATGTATTACTGCATTTTCCATAAAATCCAAAAAGAAAAAAAAAATACAAATACAGTATATATCCAAATATAAAATATCAAGGAATTTCCTAATAAATTGTTTTATCTACATCATGGAGTAATATGCAAATGACCAAATGATCATCAATGTGTTTTGTTTTCTTCTTTTAGACCTGATAATTGGTCTGTTTTTTTCCCCTGAATCTTTATCTTAAAAAAATATAAACTAACTTTAATTTTCTCAGCTCCACTTCTCAACATTCTTTGCCAGAATCCAGCTTTATTATTGTTATCATTTGTTGTTTTTTCTCCCCCAAAATGCTCTCCCACTATTGCTGCTTGTCATAAACCTTCCCCAAACTTATGTTTCCTTTATCAAAAAAAAAAAAAAAAAGTTGTCAAAACAACAAGTAAAACAATAAAACTTCCCTCTACTATTTTGTTACATTAAAGTGAGTTTCTCCCTCTCTCCATTACCTTAGAGCCATGCTGGATTTCTTGAACTTAAAAAAATAAATTTCCAGGGATTGGTCCCAACTTTGCTAAGAGTAATATTTCCATATACCCATGGAGTTCTCCACGGCACCAAATCCAGTGATTCTGCCAATCTTCATGATCTTTGACCACTATGCCTATAACACGATTGACCATATAATCCTTCTGGAAAAGAAGGCATATGGACCAGGGCCTTGGTAGTAGAGATAGAAAAGAGGAAACACATTTTAGAAATATTTAAGTGCTAAGCCATGACTGGTTAATTGCTTGGATAAAGGAAATTGATACCTGCCTGAATATCAAATATTAAGAAGAAGAGTTATGTGTATCTTTTCTTATGGCAGCAACAGAATTATACCTTACAAAAGAAGAATAATATTTGTAGGGAAATGATGAGGCATTTGCAAAGCCAGCTTTGGGATAATTATGACACGTTTTATCTGTAGGACGCAAGTTCAAAGATCATTACAAAATATGATAACATCTATAAAATGTCTAATAGAGTGAGGTGAAAATCACCAGGGGTAGTCTCTGGGAATACCAAAGTTGTAGAAATATATAGATGAAAAGAAACCCATGGGAAGAGGGAAGATGAATGGAGAAGTTGAGCTGAATAATTTTACTTGCTTCTCCCTAGCCACTTATCACACAAATCTACACCATCTTATGCCCAGTATCAAAATCTGAGGCCCAGTTTATGTCCTTGCTCTCTGGCCTCCCTTTGACTTTGCCCAAAGGAGATTAGATAGCAAGAGAATAATGAGGTCCAGAAGTTTGTTTCTGTGGCATCCTTTCTGACTTTCTGACTTGTTTCCTCAGTCTCCCCAGCTGATAGTAGTCAATGGTGGGACAAGTAAGGTCCCTTCCATTTCCTGCTGTTTTGCCTTTCCTTTTTAATGGAAACTTTATTAAATTATTCTCAGTTGTACCATTGAAATGTACCATGTGTTTTTGGCAAGACACAGATTGGTGCAGGGATATGGGAAGAACAAAGTCTGTGGTATAATGAGAGGCAAGAAAGCATTTTCAAAAAGGTTTGTGTGTTGTGTATGACTGTGGGTAGGGGTCGGTGGAAGGAATGCCCCAGAGTGATCCACCTAGACTTGGAAAAGATGGTAAAAATAATGAGAAGAATGCAGGATGACATTTTACGCTGGTTAAGGACAGAAATAAACATATATTGGCAAAAAAGTGTCCATTTTCTACTTAATTTAGTTCAGCAATCATTAATAAACTCTTATTTTTGTTCTAGAAAACAGAGGACATCATCTGACATATACTTGGGGGAGAAATTATAGAAAGAAGAGACTAGGGACATCACAATATGATGTACTATATTTTACTTGAGCTTGGCTGTGTCTGTACTTAATCATGTTTGAGAAAAACAGAAGCATTGGAAAGAGAATTTTTATTGGTTTATTATTCTGACCAAGCATACTTTGGTTAAGCTTATAAAGCCTTCAGTTTCATTAAGGCCATACAAATACTTTAGCATCGACAGACTATCTACAGACATAGTAGGTAAGAAATGGTTTGTCTACGGTTAAATCCTGCCCTTGATGTGCTTGTTGACTTATTAACTGAGGTAGCAAATATTCAAAGTGAAATGGACTTTATATGGTTATTAGAAACAATACCAATAACTCCTGGAAAGCTAAGACAGGAAAAAAATACCTAAGAATATGGCAAATTTCCAGAGGATGATGAGTGTAAAGTTAAATAAGCAGAGTGTAATAAGCCTGACATTCTCAGAAATTTAGAAGCTAGAGTAATTAGCCAGTCAGAGAAAGAGTTAGTTGCTGCCACCTTCCTGCAAGTGCCCACCATTTTTCAAGGGTTTTGTACATCTGTGGATTCTGATAGCTGAGCCCAGTATCCAATTTAGAAAGAGCATCCCTAATGTTAGCTGAAGGCAGTGGAGTAGAAATTTATCACTAAGGAATGGAATACATGCCTTTTGGCCAAAAGCTGCTTAGAGAAATAGAATTTGTGCAATATAAAAGTGCATGGAAATCCTAGTTGCATTTTTCTTTAAAATTGTGAAAAACTTTCTATGCCTTTAGGGACAGAAACCCTAAGCCATTCTTAGAAAAATGGGAGTCATCTTAAAGAAAAACAAACATTTCACAGGAAGATTTACAAAATTGCTCACTGTTCTGTTTTTTATTTTATAGGCTAGACCACCTGGAATTTTGTAACTCAACCAAACTTCAGGATCCCTGTATTTCTACCCAGGTTTCCATGGCAGCATGTTCTTTCTTACTAAAGTTCAAATTCAGGAGTATCTGCTATGCAGAAGCTATTCTTTTGGGAAACAAGCAGAAGCAAGGACTGTAGTAGATATTGTGCTAATCAAAATACATTTAACATAATTTTGAAGAGACCTCTATACCACTCAGTCTTTTGGCTTTGAATTAGAATACACAGCCCATGAATGAAGAGAGCAAGAATGGAAAGAGAACAATGTCTGGCACTTAAAGTTCATGTACGCAGCAGAGTGTTTCCTTTCTAAATAAAATGGATTAAGTTTCAGATTAGCAAAAATAGTTTCAAACATACAATTTCACTGTGCCAAAATGAAAATTTTATCCCTTGATTAACAAATATAATTAGTGGCTACTCTTCTATATTTTTGAGAGAGGAAAGAAGTGTATAAGAAATGGTTAAATAGGTAATAGGGTAATGGTGAAAATTCTGGTAGAATGCTCCGTGTTTAGAAGAGCAGGGAGCTTTCCACGTGTCCCTAAAGTTACAGACATACACAATAAACTTTTCTTTTCTTTTTCTTTTTCTTAGAGGGTTTGAGCATACCATTGTGGTCCACTCTTGCGGAGGGAAAGATACGGGAAGAACATTTCCATTTTCTGTTCACAAGTCACTCACTTGCCACTCATTCCTTGTTAGAGAACTTCTTCTTTTATCTGGGAGAGAGGACTGAACATGTACCACATGCCCATTGCAGATTGTCCTTTGCAGAGAACTTGGCTCAGGGCTCAACCACTAATGCAATGCAGGGGCCTTTCAGGGGTCCAGACTTCCTGTTACTCAGAGAATGAGCAAAATTTGGAGAAAGGAAAAGAACAGGTCATTTTGAAGTCCAATACTCCTCAAATATAAGACATGTTTTATATTATTTCTTTAGTAATGGATATGATATTTAATCTCTACCCATCTGATTTCCAAATTTTATCTGTCAATTTGTGTGGAAGTTGTCACAGATTTTAGGGTCTGAACAAATTATCACTCCTAAAATTCTAGCACTTTGCACTTGGTGTCAATCACATGTTTTGTGCTCTTTTTTTCCCCCTATAATTTCTAAAAGATATTCATGCCACTTTTCTGGGGGGCATGTTGGTGGCTCAATCAGTTAAGCTTCTGCCTCTGGCTAAGGTCATGATCTCAGGGTCCTAGGATGGAGTCCCCGTGGGGAGTCTCTGCTCAGTGGGAAGTCTGCTTCTCCCTCTGCCCCTCCCCAGGCGTTCCTGCTCTCCTCTCTCTCTTTTTCTCTCAAATAAATAAAACCTTAAAAAAAATCATGCCACTTGCCCAATTTAATCAATATCTATTAAGAATAGAAATGCTAATTTCATAAAGTTCCATCACTAGAAATCAGGCTATTTCATAGAGTTGATCACTTCATTTATTTTGTTTTCCTCATGCTGGATAGTCCTTTCTCGATTATGTAGAATGATCCACCACAAATAAAAGCTCAATAAGTTTTGCTGATTTATTTTAACAAGTGCAGGATATTTTCCTTTTGCCACCAAAACTATTTATTTAGATAAAATATTGATACAAGGAGGAAGTTACTACTTATGATCCAAGCATTTCCATTATTAATGTGCCTAAGAGAATACAAAATACAAACAACTAAATTATAAAATGATTTTGTCTTACCCTGATCAGGAAAAACTACCATAAAATGTAGTAAAAACAAATGTGTAAACTGAGTAAGCATATAGCCTATTGCCATTTTATATTTCTGCTTTTTTTATATTGAGTCAAAATCTGATTCACATAAGAACTGTATAATACCGCATTAGGAAAACAATAATAGATCAGTAGTTACAAAAGAAAATCTGATAATTCCACAAAGAATGCCCTTCTCTGTGTATAATTTTTTAATTTGAAAGGCTCTTTGAAAAATGAGATTTTCAGGCACACGGGTGGCTCAGTTGGTTGAGTGTCTTACTTCTGCTCAGGTCATGATCTCAGGGTCTGGGATCAAGTTCCACATTGGGCTCATTGCTCAGTGGGCATCCTGTTTCTCCCTCTTCTCCCTGCTTATCCTTTCTGTCATTATTTCTGTCTCTCTCTCTCTCAAATAAACAAATAAAATTTTAAGAAAAAAAAATGACATTTGCTATTCAATGTATATCCCAGGAGAGAATCTAGGTTCGCCAAAATCATTTCAATGAAAAACAGTAGCTATTATGTTGCCATAATGGAATTTATGAAACACATACACACACACACACACACACACACACACACACACCATGGAATGGAAAGATAAGGTCATTTTTTTCTAATCCCAAATGAATAATATTTTTGTCTACTTCCTTTTGTTTTTTTAAGATTTATTTATTTACTTGAGGGAGAGAGTGGGAGGGAGGGAGGGAGAGAATCTCAAGCAGACTCCCCACTTTGTGGAGCTGGAGGTGGGGCTCTATCTCAGGACCCTCAGATCATGACCTGAACCAAAATCAAGAGTCAGACTCTTGACTGACTGAGCACCTAGGGGCCTCTGTATTCTCTTTCAAATAATACATATTGCCATACACTTAAAATCTGCAAATAATCTTGCCCTAACCTTGTCCTTGCACATGTATAAACACTCTGTTTTTCAAAAAGAAGACACACTTTACTTTGTGACAGAAAAGGGCACAATACTTTTCTTTTTTCAAGTATCATAAACTACAACTAGAGGTCCAGCCACAGTAATAATGGGAGATCTATGGACTTTTGCCCACGGAAAGTCTCCATGAGTCAATTTGAGGAAAATTTCATTAATACACATAATTGAGTAGCAAAATCTAATTTATTTATTTATTTATTTATTTATTTATTTATTTATTTTTACATTTCAATGTTTCACTTATCCTTTACTCATTCTCTAAGGAGACCAAAAACTTGCATCCAAAATTTTTAGGAAACCTAACACAGAATGGCCCTCACATGCTTGCAAACTATGGTTTTTATACAACCACTGGGAAATAGACTCTCTACCTCTATATTTCTCCTGTTTCTCCAAGCTTGTCTACCCATCCACTCCTCCTTCCTGAACATGATTTCTCATGTTGAGATCTTAACTCATTTCTTGCCATTTTTCTACTTCACTCTTTCTTCACAATTATGTCACAGTAACAAACACCTCATTGCAGTCACAGAAACTCCTATTTGAGTCCATCTGCATAGACATGTTTGCCTTCTTTTACCTGTCTTTCCTTGATTCCTAATTTACACTTTAGTTTTCTCTTTAAATAATAATGTCTTTGAGAAGCCATCTCTTAGAGTCTCCCATTCTGTAGGCAGAAAGTTGACAGTTAAAATACAAGATGAACAGTTAAATTTCAATTTTCGATAAAGAATGACTAATTCTTGGGGACACCTGTGTGGCTCAGTGGGTTAAAGGCTCAGGTCATGATCTCAGGGTCCTGGGATCAAGCCCCGCATCAGGCTCTCTGCTCAACAGGGAGCCTGCTTCCTCTCTCTCTCTGCCTACTTCTTTGTCTACTTGCGATCTCTCTCTCTGTCAGATAAATAAATAAAATCTTTTTTAAAAATGAGTAATTTTTTTAATATAAATATATTCCAAATACTGCTCAGGTACATACTTTGCAGATAAACATCTAGTGGGTAGATGGGCAGAGAGACAAATAATGTGAGCTTGTGAGCAGAATAGGGGATAAGGAGGCTTATTAAATTGTTTTAATGTGAAGTAATTTTTAAAATACAGTACAAGGGGCACCTGAGTGGCTCAGTGGGTTAAAGCCTCTGCCTTCGGCTCAGGTCATGATCCCAGGGTCCTGGGATCGAGCCCCGCATCAGGCTCTCTGCTCAGCAGGAAGCCTGCTCCCCCCACCCCGCCTGCCTCTCTACTTATGATCTCTGTCTGTCAAATAAATAAATAAAATCTTTAAAAAATAAATAAAATAAAAATAAAATACAGTACAATGGCATCTCTAAATAAAACTTTGGTTTACAAAGTGGCTTTGTTTTCCTTGACCTTAAAAAACCAGGCTCTTAAGCACTCATTTTGAGAAAAATCCATCCATTCTCCTCCCTTTTGTGAAATCTGTTTTGAATTATATTTGTGAATGATCTAACCTAGTTATGCTATATGCTGGTACAAGAGACTGGGTTCTCTCGGGTTGACTAGTAACTGAAGAATGGAGGATTTTAAAAGCCATTACTATTAAGCATCTAGAGTGAAATTTCACTCCTGTTATGTACACAGAATGAGAACAGAATCATTTAATCAGAGTAAGAGATACCCGCTCAGAGGTTGATAAAATATTAACATTATTTGAGGGAAAATGATATTTCATTCAAATTGACATGTGTAACTGAAAATCACAGGACACACACACAAATATATATATATATATATATATATATATATATATATATATATTTAATGTTACTGTGGTGTTTGCCATTCACCAATGTAAGGGCACATGATTCCCTATTGGTTTTATTAAGTCCAGACCAAGTAAAACCTAATATTATCTACAGCTTATTTGCTTATTTTTCATAAAAAAAAACATTTTAAATTTTTCCTTAAAAATGCTAAGTATAGTGGTGAACAAGATCACAAAAGTGTGAATAATTCTTCATAATATTTTTATATGTATTTTTCTTTTTTAATTTGAGTGAGAGGGGCAGAAGGAGAGGGAGAAGCAGACTCCCCACTGAGCAAGGAGCCTGATGTGGGTGGGACTCTATCTCAGGACCTTGGGATCATGACCTGAGCCAAAGGCAGATGCTTAACTGACTGAGTACCCATGAGCCCCTTCATGATATTTTTATAAGGCAGATATATACTTTACATACACATTTATATCATACCCACCCAAAAGAAAAATTTTAAAATAATGATGCTGAAATAATTAGACACAAATCTTACAAAATATCATCAGTTGTTTTGGTGGTTATCTCTGGTTAGGAGCACAGAACATAGATAATTTTCTTCCTTGCTGAGTAACATTTACTAGATATTCCTTTTTTAAAATTTATTTATTTTGACAGAGAGCAAGAGAGCACAAGCAGGCAGAACAGCAGAGGGAGAAGGAGAAGCAGGCTCCCCACTGATCAGGGAGCCCGATGTGGGGCTCGATCCTAGGACTTTAGGATCATGACACTAGCTGAAGGAGTTGCTTAACCAACTGAGCCACCCAGGCACCCCTAAATATTCTTTAACAAAATATTTTTATTAGGTTAAAAAAAAACACTTTTAGAAATATTATACTTTTAAAGATCTTTTACATTTTATTACTTCATAATTTTCTATAGGCTCACCTAAATATAGGCTCTACTGAGCTGTATAGTGCTTAGAAAATCTAAAATGCAAGACCTGCTGGATGATGAAACAGCATTCAAGGCAATAATTTGTTTCTTAATAGGTTACATACAAGTCACCTCTTGAGTGAAGAGTTGGTCAAATGCACTTTGCTTGCTATTGTTATTTATATCTTCAAATGAATATGTTTAACATTTTCCCCAGGGTCCTTCTCTGTAGTTATTGATGATTTCAGCCACTCATTGGCATATGCACACATGCTGAACTAAAATACACCTGGGGATGAATCTTTCACTTTTAAAAAGAAGTAGATTTGTTGAAGAAAACACTGCCCTACAGCCTGTGCGCTGAGAAATTAATCTTTATGAACACAGAGAAATCCCCACTGTGCAAATGAGTACTCAGGACATAAAACATGGAAAATAACTTGAACTTCATCATCACTCCTCAAATATTTTCCCCATGTTCATCTATTGAAAATTACATAGCGTGTCTAATAGAGCACTTTCTAAATCTATAAAATACTATGCAGTTTTAAGCGAAGTCACTTTTACTGAGATGAACTACCACGTGACAAAGCAAGAACATAAAAATCCATCCAAAAAGTCTTTATGAAATAAATCTGTTAGAAAATGTATTACCAAGAAGTGTATTACTAAGAGACAAGGCAGGCATACATAAAGTATGGCATATAATCCAAATTATTATTGTGTCCTATTAAATTGTAAAATACTCAACCAACACAATATTTATACACACAATAATTTTTAATAACTCTTACTGTACTCACATTTTAATAGTCTCACATGCTATAGTGTGATTATGAACAGAACTTCCTCAAGTACATTTGTTTCTTCCAAACCACTTGTTTACGTTAAAATGAGATGCAAAACAAATGATTAAGATAAAAACATTGAAGTCCAGGGTACCTGGGTGACTCATTCAGTTAAGCAGCTGACTTGTGATTTTGGCTCAGCTCATGATATCAGGATAAAGGAACCAAGCCCTGAGTATGCTCAGTATGGAGTCTGCTTGAGATGCTGTCTCTCTTTCTCCCTCTGCTTCTGTTTGTGCTCACTCTCTCACTCTCAAAATAAGTAAATAAAATCTTAAAAAACAATTAAAACCAACCAAGCAATAAAAAAAAAAGTAATTGAATCCCACTTTCATTAACCATTACAAATTGTCCTCACTCTCACTAAAGTTTCACAACTATTGAGGACTGGAAAAATTTTGTTTGTTAGAATTCTGGCCTCTGGATAAGAATCCTCTAACTTCACTGACTTACAATCCCAGGTAGGATGAAATTCTCTTTTCTGTTGAAGGCACTCATTTTGGATGAAGGTACTATACACCTTGTCATCATTTGCTTATCTGCCACTTACTGTCTGTTCATTTCAACCACTCAAGTCCGATTTCTCCATTCAGACTCCTTCTTCCAAGATGGTAGGTTAATTCCACATTGGAGAAGTTTATGGAACTATCAGATCCAATGTTAATTGCTGGAAACATCTGAAACTACCTCTTCTTTGATATATTCTAATCTTTTTAAATTACTGTGAGAAGAGTGTGTGGCCTTTCCCGTTTCTCCTTTTGGGCTGCTTTTGCCCTACCTTCAGTGCCTGTGTCCAGGCTCTGTGGCATCCTCTTTTCTTTCTGTTCTGCATACTCTTCCTGGGTGATCAGACCCATTTCAATGGCTCCATTGTTGTTCATGGTTGTTGAGGTCCATATTTATTTGTCTATTTTGAATCATTCTCCTCTCCATTTCTAGATGTTTATTTTATGAATATTTCTATGAAGAGCTTTCATTAGGCACCTCTTACTCCACATATTAAAAATGGGCTGTCTCCTCTCTTCATTCACAGTCTGCTCAGTCTATGACTCATCAACCAAGAGGCACAAATCAGCATTCTGGGTGTAATCTCTGACTCTTGATTTTCTCATACTAGAGATAATCAATTCACCAAGTCCTCTCAAGTTAATTTTCTGAGTTTGTACACTTCTGTAGCCTACTGCCACCTCTCTGACATATTTTAAGTACCACTCATCTTAAAGAAGTTACCAGAAGCATATAAATCTAGCTATATTATTGTTATTATTATTATTATTAAACATTATTATTATTATTCCTATGATCAGTACTAAACCATGTAAAATTCTTTAGGCCCCAAACCTTATAGTTTAGTTGGCTATTTCTGAGCTTACCACTTTCAAAAATCTTTGCTATTCCTCTTTCTTAGTATGTCCTCTTTTAAACAGGAAACTTCTGAGGGACTGTTTCCCATTTAACTACATCCATAAAAGATAAAATTTCACTGACACTGCCAGTAGGATGATTCATTTCCACATTTGAAGAAAAGATTGATCTCTGAATCTTATTTTCTTGATAAATTGGTTCCAAATAATTGTTTCTATTTTCTGATCTTCAATATAAATATAAAGAATATAACTATGTTTTTATTACTTTTACATTTTGCTTGAAATACCTTTCTGAATTGTTTGGAATCTTAAAAGTGTAACACACATGTACCTAGTTTTACTTTGCCCCACTGCATTAATTACAATCCTTTTCACCCATATACAACATGAAGAATAAATAGGGAACTTTAGGAAAAAAATATTATACATCAGCATCTAGTTTTAGATATGAAATAATAATGATACCTTCGAAACCTCTCCATGATCACATCCCAAGCTTAACCCCCAGATCTAACCATAGTTCTAAATATTCTATTTAATATTATCTTTTTCACTGTAGTTTTGCAAACAGACTTATTTGCTTGTTTTTACATATTAAATAAATAGGATTATCCTGTATGAATCCTTTTACAACTTGCTTTTTATTGTTCAGTACTATGTTGTAAGAGCCACTCATGTTTATGTATGTGGCCATAGTTCAATCACTGTACAGTATTCTGTTGTATGGATAATAAAGTTGATCTATTCTACTCTCAATTGAAAATTCAGTTATTTACAGATTTTTGCATTTACAATTCTACT